CCCCTGGTTCCTATCACCACCATGGTAAAGAAATCTGAACCACTTAACACCAAACCACTCAGAATCACTCGGTTTACATCTCACACACTGAATTATAGGTGCATTTTTGAAAATTTGGTGGAATTCCCCTTTAAACCGTCTGATATTGTACTGTATTGTTCCTTTATCATTATGTAACATTATGCAAGTGGCAGTTTGGACAGTTTTCTACTAGACAATGAATGGATGAGTGATTGGCTTCTAAATAAGCTTCCACATCTGTCCATCTGCAGAAGCTCGCGCACCTCCACAGCTCCATCCCGTCTTTAGCTCTTATCACACCTCATCATCATTCTGAGGAGGATAATAGCTCTCCATTCACACTCACACACTTATCAGCACACTTCCTCCTGCAGCAACAATGGCACACAATACAGCGCAGTAGCAGGTAGTTCAGCTTCAGCCGCTTCGTCCTGCTGCCGGATTCACATGCTAATTCTGACTGAGAGATTTAGCACGCCGCATTAGTAATCAGTGTGTGTGTGTGTGTGTGTGTGTGTGTGCGTGTGTGTGCGTGTGTGTGTGTGTGTGTGTGTTGGGGGCTGTCTGTAAAGGCATGTGGCCTGAAATGAACAGATGCCATTACACAGCATCTGCCCTCTGAGCCTCTATAGGGCAGATCAATCTAATGCAAAAGCAGATGAAACAGTCAATACTCCGGCTGTGTTCCAATTCAAGCACTTACGCTATGTGATCTATTATTATACTGTACACTATGCACTTTATTCTTACTCTATACATCTTATTTCTAACTATGCACTATATTCTTACAAAATATATTATATTTATACACTATACACTGTCATCTGTTTCTTCTCGACACACTATATTCATACACTATACACTATACTTTTACACTGGGTACTACACACTATATTATACATATATATGACACTATGCACTGTATTTGTACAATGTACAAATATATGTGCTATATTCTTACAATATATGATAGATTTATACACTATACACCATGCCATCTGTTCTTTCACTCTGCAATATATTCGTACACTATGCACTATATTTGTACACTATACATTATGCATTATTCTTGCAATATATAATATATTTATACACCATACACTATGTCATCTGTTCTCTCATTACGCACTATATTCGTAATGATTCCCCCAAAGGCCAGGAGTGTTCTATTGTGTATGTGTGCAATGTCATAGCAAGTCCTGCTTCTTTCTTGGATTTTCAGGTCAGCCGGCCTCTCGTAGTGCCCGATGTGAGTGGTGGTGAACTGAGGCTGTACTAGGCCTTCAGATTGGCCCATACAAGGAAATAAAACACCTCATTTCTGTTAGCGCCCCTGGCATTTACTATGAATAGAGTGTTTATGTAAAATGAGCATTTAAATGATCACAAAACACATCAAATGTCTGTATCCACCTTTAATATGGCGATTGTTTGCTGTCCCACCTCTCTGACGTTGAGCTTCTCTATGAAATATAATGATTAAAATCCAGTAGCACCATCATCACAATATAGTTCATTCTTAAGCAATTTAATATTATAAGAACTATTTTTCCCCAATAATTTATTTATTTTAACAAAATAAGTCATTAATTAGTCATTTTAACCTGTGTCCCACCACCCTGTCAGCCAAACCTATTCCCCTCATAAAAAAGGAATGTTCCATTTATTATTTACTGTAATGTAAATGTAACGTAATGTCATTTGTTCTCTCATTATACACTATATTCGTACACTATATGCTATATTCTAAATTCTTTCAATACACATTATTTTCAGGCTTTGTATTTTACACTATGTACTATACACTACATTTGTATACCGTGCACTACTTTGTACACTATACTCTATGCACTATATTCTTACATTATACACCATGTTCATACACTATACACTATGTACTCTATTCCTAGACTATACATGATATTCATGCACTATACACTATGCACTTTTTTCTTACGTTCTTTGCTATATTCTTAAGATATGTTAAGGTATGTACACTATGCATTCACATAGTGTTTTTGTAGTATTATATCAAAACAAACTAAACATGTAGTTTAAACTTTATGCTGGTCTATGATGGTTTATGCTGGTTCTGGTGCTGGTTCAGTTGGTCACCCACTGGTTGACCAGCATACCAGCATCCAAAGCACGCTAGCGCTAGTCTATGCTGTTATGCTAGTCTATGCTGTTTTTTCTAGCAGAGTAATGTTACCTAGCTAACATTAGCTATAACGAGCTATATGAGCTATATAACATTCACATAAGTGTTTATAAATGTTGCAAATAGCCTAGCGCAAAAGCAAAACAGCGTCTTAAAAACAGCTAACTCACATTTGAAAGTGGCTCCTCCCGTTTCCCTTAGCCATGTTCCACACTTCAGATGTTTGTGTGATTGTTTATTGTATGTAGCCACAACACTCAGGCTAGGCTAGCTACACTCACCATCATGGATACACACATGTCATAAAAATATTCACTCAGAACACTGACATTAACATTAATGGCTCTCCAATATAAGAGCTAGTCTGCATAGCTAAGCTAAGCTAAGCTAAGTTCTTTTTCACTGTTCTGCATAATATGCAGTTTGTGCATTTATTTCTAAAGCACCTTCAGTGAATCTGTTCTAAAATTAGTACATTAACAGTACACTACTTCCTGTTTTATTTACCAGTGTGAACACGCTACTAAAAGTAGCTAGCATGCTATAGAAGTGCTCGATTTGAGACACAGCTTGTGGCTGGTGTTTTTAATTTTTTATTTTATTAACCATTCTCCCTCTCAGTTAAACCCATGTCGAGTTCACTCAGACGCCTAATGAGTAATGTAATTGCTTTGACCCATATGCCGTCCTTCATTAATTTAATTGCATAATATACACACGGTGGTGCGATCTACAGCCCGTTCAAATTAGGACGGCTCAAATGAGAGAAGCCAGTTGTTTTCCATAGGGCTTTTGAATAAGATCAGATTCTTTTTTGCACTATTTGCTTAACAAAAGCCACCGTCATTTGATTACTCGGGGTTCGGCTGCAGACGGAGAGGAGGATTTCCATTGGTGTGCGATTCTCCCCCCTGTTATATGCTCAGATGGGTCTCGGTGCTCTCACACACACAAATGCAAAAATGTGATTTGATTCTTCCTGGCAATCTGAACTGGGTTAATAGGCCTAATTGTAAAAATGATTCCCCCAAAGGCCAGGAGTGGTCTATTGTGTATGTGTGCAATGTCATAGCAAGTCCTGCTTCTTTCTTGGATTTTCGGGTCAGCTGGCCTCTCGTAGTGCCCGATGTGAGCGGTGGTGAAATGAGACTGTACTAGGCCTTCAGATCGGGCCATACAAGGAAATAAAATACCTCATTTCTGTTAGCGCCCCTGGCACTTTCCATGAACAGAGTGTATGTTGCATTGCCTGTTTGTTTTACCTCTGAGAAAAGTGAAGGGATCTGAATTTTAACTTAAAGTAAAATGATTAAAATGAGCATTTAAATGATCACAATCCTTTAATATGGCCATTTTAATGTTACAAGAGCTATGTTTCCCCATTAATTTATTTGTTTTAACAAAATATGTCATTAATAAGTCATTTTAACCTGTCCCACCACCCTGTTTGCCACCCCTGTTCCCCTCATAAAAAAGGAATGTTCCATTTATTATTGATTATAATGCAAACAGGAATTTGCTTCATCTTGTTGTTTTCTGAAGATTGACCGTAAGACAAATGTTTGTGACATCACAAAAGCAAGGAACTCAAAACAGCCTGTTTTAGTAGTTTCCTCTCCATTTGTGGAGCATTTGGACTGAAGAGTGAACGTTTAACAGTGTTTACAAACGACATCAAAGACTGATTTCAAAGATGTGAGGGAAGTTCAGTTCACTGTGATATGACCCTTTAAGGTTTGGGGTTAGACAGAGCACAGAGGTGTTTAAAACACTCACACACACGCACACACACACGCACACACACACGCGTGCACACACGCACGCACACACACACCCACACACGCACACACACACACGCGCGCACACACACACCAGCACAGCAGCATTTACACACACTCATACAGCAACGTTTAGCTGAGTGTAACTGTGTCTCCGAGTGAACTGGAGCAAAACTCTCTCTCTCTCGCTCTCTCTTTCTCAGCTCTGTGGAAAAGATTCAGCAGCTCTATGGTGGGGGGTGGTGGGGGATGGGGGGACGGAGCAGGTCAAGCAGGAGAAACCTCAAAATCCCTCTCGCCACTCTCTGTGTTTTCTTCTGTATCTGTTACTCTCTCTTTTTTCACTTTGTTTCTTTTTCTTTCATTAGTTTTTTACTCTCTCTCTCATTTTTTTCCTCTCTTCCTGCATTTCCTGTAGCCGTTTTTCCTCTCTCTCTCTCTTTCTTTACCTCTCTCTATACTCTTCCTTTTCTCCTGTTTCTCCCTTTCTCTCATTGTTTTTCCTCTCTCTCTTCTTATTTCTCTTAAACCATTTCTTACCTCCCTCTATTTTCTGTTTCTCTCCTGTTGTAGTTCTCTCTCTCTCTCATTTCCTTTTCTTTACCTCATTTTCTCTTTCTCTCTGGACGTGTTTCAGTCTTTCTCTACCTCTCTCTCATTTCTTCTCTCTTTTCTCGTTCTCTCTCTCTCTCTCTCTCTCTCTCTCTCTCCTTTATTTCTTTTCCTCTCTGTTTTTCTTTTCTCCCCTTCCCCTGCCCCCCTCTCTCTCCCTCTCTTAAAGAAAAGGGGAGGGGGGGAGCAAACCAGAAGGAAAAGCAGCCAAAATCCACATTTTGGGAAGAGTAGAGTGAGCGAGTGAGCAAGTGAGTGGGTGAGAGAGAGAGAGAGAGAGAGAGAGAGAGAGAGAGAGAGAGAGAGAGAGAGAGATTATTGAGTATAGGAGTGTAGAGAGGGGGAGTGGGGAAAGTGGGAGGAGCTTGACTTGTGTCAGAGCGGAACCTGATTGGCTGCCTGCGCTGCTGGCTCGGGTTTCTCTCTCTCTCTCTCTCTCTCTCTCTCTCTCTCTCTTTCTCTGTAGTCAGTAGTTTGTTTTTCTCCGGGCTGGAAGTTGCAGCTCAGTTCAGTTTGGTTCCACACGCGCGGACACCGATGAGGTGAGTTGAGCGCTCGAGAGCAGGAAGAAGAGGGGTAGTCCAGCCTTTAACACGCACACACACGCACGCACAGGGGCTCAGGTTTCTAGTCTTGTGCTCGCGCTCTCCACTTTAAAGCGCATTAGCTTATTTCTGGTGCGTAATAAAGGCGGCTGAGAGCGCGCGCGTTGTTGGTGGGGTGTTGGGGGCAGGTAAACGGGGGGCAGGGTGTCCGTGTTAGTGCTCCTGATCTCGAGCGCGGACAGTTAAAGCCTCTCTCTCTCTCCGCCTCCTCTGGAATAACACACGCCGCAGCGCGCGGAGCTGGACGCTCCTGGATATTTACCCTCCGTACCTTCGCCATCTTCATCCTCCTCAGCCTGTCTGGACTCTACGGCGCTGTAGGACTCGGACTTCTGTGGATTAATATGAGAAGGAGCTGCGCGTGCCGCTCCGCGCTCGGTTCAGAAGCTCCAGGTAGGATCTGGGCTGTTCCTATTAAAGTTGTGTCGCGAGAGGACGTTTGGATTGTGTTGGGAATGTTGTTGGTTTTGGAAGCACTGGAGATACTGAAGGGTTTGGAGATGTTGGGATCTTTAAAGAAAGAGATGGAGTACCGTTTTAAAGTTTGAAGAAACTACACACAATGAGAAGGTTCCACAACAATGAAAGTTTTCCCCTAGAACTGTACTTCCAAGAACCTTTTAGGAAGCTTTATTTTAAGGTTGCCGTATTAGCGGTGTTGGGTTGTTATTGGCTGTTAGGAGAGTTGGCTGTGGGGGTGTTTGGTGTTGGGTTTCTTGGGAGGTTAAGGTTATTGGAAGAGCTGGAAATGTTGGCAATGTTGAAGATAGGCAGTGTTGTTCGTGTTGGGTAGTAGGGATATTAGGGTTGTTGGGAGTATTGGTGGTGTTAGGACTGTAGTAGGGATTGTGCTATTGGGGGTATTAGGATTGTTAGGAATAATACTAACGTGTAGTTATCTGGAATGTTAGGAATATTGGAAGATTTGGGTTGTTTCTAATGTTAGAGTGCTGGGAGTGTTAGAAACGCTGAATGTTGGGGTAATTGGAGGTGTTGAGAATAGTCAAAGTGCTCTGAGTGATAATATTGGAATACACTGGGCATATTGGAAGTGTTGGATATTCAAAATGTTGGGAATGTTAGGAATATTGAAGGTGTTTTGGGGATGTCAGGGATATTGGAAGCGTTGAAGATTTTTGAAGTGTTCGAAATATTAGCAAAATTGAAAGTGTTCAGAATGTTGGGGATCTCAGAAATAGTGGGAATGTTAGAAATATTGAAGGTGTTTTGGGAATGTTGGGGATATTGAAAGTGTTGAGGATATTACATGCGTTCAGTTTATTGGTTATACTGGAAGTGTTGGGGATGAGAATTGTTGAGATCGTTAGGAATATTATAGGTGGTTTGGGAATGGGGAAATGGAAGTGTTGGGGATATTATAAGTGTTCGGAATATTAGTCATGTTAGAAGTGTTGGGAATTGGGATATGAAAAGTGTTGGGGATATTATAGATGTTCGGAATATGAGTCATATTAGAAGTGTTGGAAATGTTGGATGTATTGTATCGAAAGTGTTAGTAATGTTGGAGAATTGGGAGGTTTTGGGAATATTGGCAATATTGGAAGTGTTATGAATGTTGTGAATATCGAGAGTGTTTTCTGATCTTGTGATTTGGTCGCCTCTGCTAAAGATTTGAGCTGACTATGAGAGTAAGCCTTAAGATGCTGTCTCCTTATGTTATCTACAATCCGACTCCAAGCTCTTTATCAGCTACGTGTATCCATGAATGCTAATAAGGCTTAAGACAAAGGAATAATCCAGCAGGGTTTCCGCATGGTTCTAAAACAGCGCACAGTGCTCAGTGCTTTAGCAGGGGGGAAATGTCATAGAAAGCAGCTCTGAAACTCGGCCAAGCTACCCCTGGACTGTATTGATTATTGATCAGGTTTTCTAGTAAAGTGAAGGGCGGAGCCTCTTCTGTCCTCATGGGGTTTTATGAGGCCGAGCCCAAAGAGGACGTGCAGCCTGCTGCTGCAATAAACCCGCCTAACCTTCGTCCTACGTGTTGGAAGTCACTTGGAGAGCGGAGCTGGCTTCATGAGAATATTTATGAGAGTTTATCGACCGTGCTGAATGGGGTTGGGGAACGTTCCGGGCCGAGGGCGCCCTTGGTGGTGGTGGCGGAGTGTTTCAGAGCTCCGAAAACCCTGCAGCAGGCACACATTAGCGGAATCAATTTAGCAGCTCAAGCCATTACAGGCTGTCACTCTCAGAGCTTTTGTTCTCCTGTTTTTTTGTGTGTGCACTCTCTGCAAGTCAAAAGGCTTCACCACGGGTTGATTGTTGGGCTCACTTCTATTCCTCTTGGAGAGGAAGTCCACCAAAATTCTGCATAATGCAGTGGTTGAGAGATTTCAAATTAATTCAGTGAAGTGGTTCTCACTGACGCAGTGCTGGTGATAGAAACCAGGAGTGGCCATGTACACAACACAAATATAGACTACACACACATATATATATATATATATATATATATATATATATATATATATATAATTTTTTTTTTTAATCAAAACCACCTAGTGAACCTACAGGTGGGCGATATGACAAAAATAAAATATTGCAATGCTTCAAGAAATTTTTACCATACACTATACAGTCTCTGCATCTGATCATTTGGAACAGACCTACATTTTAAAATATACTATCAAAACTGTGAACACAGTGATTTTTATTCAGTATTTGGCTCTAAATCCAGTTAAACAGGGCTAATTTTCGTGCTCAGAAAAGCATAGTGTGACATAATATATCATGATATCCGTATGTATTGTCATATTGCCCAAATTTAATAAACCTACATGTGTCTTCTCACTTTTATATGGAATGTTGATAATGGTAAAATAGTGGAAAATCAGAAAAAAATAGTTTTCTTTGGGGCCTATTTTGTATCTACATGTATCCCTCCACGATGAATGGATTTTAAACATGTTTTAGGCCCAAAACCTCTATAAACTATCGTGAAAGGCAGTGTATTCATTACCATTTCATTTAAAAACTTTCTTTGAGGGAGCTTTTAGAGGTGGATGTCTGGGTTCTGTCACCACCACTGTGAACAATTCTGACTTGGTAAGTTTCTCTAGAACGCAGAACCACTCTGAATGGCTCTGTTTATATCTTGACCGCTTAGTTATGCAGAAATTTTGAGAAATGGGTGGGATTCCTCTTCAGGCGTTTCCCAGTAGAAGTTTATTATTATGATTATCATTATTATCATGTATAATCTCCTTATTGGAGAAACTTTTGACAATGTTTTTAAGGTGCCATTGTTACGAGTCATGGAACCTTTTTCATATCACTCTATAGAGCCCTGTTTTGTTAGGAGTGCGTGGGGAGGATCCCAAATCCGTTTCCGAAAGGAGACGTGCTGTTTTTTCTGTTCTTTTCTCCCTCTTTGACTGTGATTTATGCTCAGTGCAGCAGATCGCAGTGCTGTGGTGAAGTGACTGACAGCCATGTTAATGCTCCATCAGCACAATGAATGGACATAGCGCGCATTGGCTAAATCCGGAATAAAGCAGCTGTTTTCCCCCGGGGGGCACTCCTTGGGGGGGGCAGGAGGGCAGGGTGATCCTTCTATCCTTCCTTTTAATCGTTTCTCACGAGCAGAACTAATTTTCAATTGTTCACGTTTAAATATTCACTTCATTTAGATTCTCTCTGGCGGTAACAAAGTCACGCTGTATGTTTATGTGCATTATTTCTGATTTGTAGTTCACTGCAAGAAGTGAAGAAACTGTGTGGAAAGTGCAGATTATAAACTTTCAGTACAGACACATTAGTGTTTGTACTGAGGAGAAGAGATATTTTATTATGATTTGAATGTGGAGACTCATACTGAATGTAAAATGTGGTTCATAACAATATCAATGTAAACAGTATAGTTACAGTAATAACTCTAGACATATAAGGGTTAATACAGATGAACCTGATCTCAGGTCTGAGCACAGATGCAGTGAGTCAGGCTGAAAAAGGGCAGCATGTATTCAGAGGGAAGGTGAAAATGTAAAGAACTGACTCATTATAAAGAGTCTGACGTCAAACTGAGCTGATTAGCCTTCAAACTCCAAACACCTGCAAGCTGCTTCTCTTAACTAATTATTCAGCTCATAACTTAATAATAACTCCACTGTTTTACATTGTGCTGCTGTAGTAAATGATTAATAAGCCTGTGATTAATGAGCATGTGGACATGATTAACTTTTTAAAACCAATCTCATTAATTATTTTTATTTTAGATATTATTTTATCTGGATGTAAAATAATAATTAAAATTATTATGATTACTATTATTTAATTCTGGAGGTAAAATTATTAGAAGTTTATTTCTGGGTGTTCATTTTATTAGAACTTTATTCTGATACTAATTTTATTCAAACTTCATTCTGGATGTTAATTAGAAATCAGAATGAAATTTTAATAAAATTACTATCTAGAACAAAGTTCCAATAAAATTAACTTCCAAAATGAAGCTCTAATAAAATTAATATCCAGAATTGAGTTCTAATAAAATTAACATCCAGAATGAAGTTCTAATAACAATGATATCCAGAATGAAGTTCTAATAAAATTAACTAGATATTATATTTTTTAAGAATTTCATTCTGGATGTTCGTTGGATTAGATCTTTGTTCTGGATGTTTTACAGCTTCCTCTGTCGTCTTGAAATCGCCTTTATTTTTAATTGACATCCTCTACTAATTATTTGAAAGCTGCAGTTGTGACTGTAGTTATTTGACTCATATTTGAATCATTTTAGACATTTTTCTTTAATCAAACTGGTTTATTATGAGTGAAAATGTGGACTCCAGACGTTGTACTGGTGAACAGAGAGCAGCAGGTCAGTGATCAGGAGAGAGAAGCTGAAGTGTCTCCAGGCTGAGCTCGAACTCTCAGCTGATTAATGACTCTATAGCGCCCCCTCACTCTGCTGCTCTGCTGGACGGATGTGTTTGAGTCATCACCTGTGTGTGTGTGTGTGGAGCTGATCACGTAAGAATGTACAGAATATACATATTCACTAAGATTCTGCATTGTCTTCTCTCTCTCTCATCTCGTTTCCTCTTTCCTCCCCTCTGTTTCCTCTTTTACTCCGTTCTCCTTTTCCCTCTTCTCTTTCACCCTGTTTTCCTCTTTTCTCCTCTTTCCCTTGTTTGTCCTCTTTTTTCTCCTCTTTCCCTTATTTCGTTTCATTTTTTTATCCTTTTAGCCCCTTTACTTTCCACTCTGTTCTTTTCCTCTTTTCTCCTCTTTTCCTCCTCTTCTCTTTCACCCTGTTTTCCTCTCGTCTCCTCTTTCCCTTTTCTTCTCCTTTCTTCTCTTTTCTCCTCTTTCCCTTATTTCTTTTCTTCTCTTTCATCCTTTAACCCCTTTCCTTTCATCTCTCTCCTCTTTTC